ATATAAACATTACTTAGAATAAAAATCTGCTAGCTAGGAATGTAAATAATTCATTTCTGTTACATTTAAGATAGCTTCATTTAAAATAAAAGTAAATAAAAACAAACCTTTATAGGTTTCTGCCCTTGAGATAGAAATAATAAAGATAAATTAGGGATATCAGATTTTTACCAGACATGCAGTACCAGACATGACACAAGATTATGTATTTAACTTTGATCGGTTATTCTTTTCCTACAAGTGATTGCTAGTGCAGAAAATTGTGCCACTTTATAAGTTATATGCAAATTCCAGTCTGATAATAGGTAATTTAAATAAAAAGCTTCAAATCTCCCAGGTATGTTCAAAAGTATAGGAGTGATCAAATCTCTGCAAGCATTGTCGTAAAAAGGGCAATGAAACAATACGTGTCCAGCATTTTCTATATCTCCTGAGTTACAGGGGCATGTTTGCTCATGAACAGGAGTACTAAATTTACCCTCCAGTAATGCTGATGGTAGAACGTTTAATCTAACCAGTGTGAAAGCTATTCTATATCTAGGGATCAATAAATTTGTGATGTAGTTTGGCATGGTAAGTGCTCCTAAACTGTCCCAATAAGAAAAATAGTTTGTGGACTGAGTTCTATGGTTTTGGAATTCTATGTCCTTTATGCGCTGCATAATGGCTGTTTTAGCTTTAGAATATCCCACTGGATCTGCCAAGACCAGAGGAAATGGGGTTTTCATTAAAGTATTTTTAATGTAAGCTCACATCAAGAGTAGTAGCACATTTTGTAAAAATTAAGATGGGAATAATAATAATTTTGTAAAAAAAAGAAAATTAAAAATGGCTGCAGTGTTCCAGTTACTGGCATGTCATCATCATTTGCTCTTTGTGATTGCTAACACTGGAGGAAATGGGACTTCTGTTTAATAAGAAAGTTGAGCTTTTGGCAGGCACAATTATACATTAGTGGCTGAAATGAGCTGAGATTAGAAGCCTGGGCTGTCATATTTTAAATTACTGGTTTTTTTGCCTTTCATTTAATACCAACTGTTTCATAGAAACAGCTTCCTCCTCCATGTCATGTTTTTGAGGAGCATATTTATCTTACTCTCAAGGTATCACTCTACTTACCTGGTTAATAATTTGCCCTAGAGATCATTAGCTTTAGGGCATTGGATTTAACTTGCGTGCAACAGGGCATGGTAGCTCAACAGTTAACACAATGACTCTGATTATTGCAAGATTGGAAGGTCAGCAGTGTGAGGCACAGGTGCTGTCAACCTAGCAGTTTGAAAGCATGTAAAAGTGCAAGTAGATAAATCAGTACTACTTCAGTGGGAAAGTAACAGCATTCTGTGCAATCATGCTGGCTACATGATCACAGAGTTGTCTTTGGCAACGCTGACTCTTCGACTTAGTAACGGAGATGAGCACTGACCCCTGCAATCAGACATGACCAGTCATTCTTGTAAAGGGAAAACCTTTACCTTTACTTTACCTAAACAGCCAGCCTGAGGCTGCAAAGTAGGTTATTACAAGTATATACAAATATTTATACAAATCTGTATGAGTATGAAAGCACATACTTTTTAGATATCAAACCAGATCTTAGGAAAACTAATTTTTGACTCCCAGAATTGCCAAGCCAGCAAGTTCAAATTTGGGGATTCTGGAAGCTGTAGTCCAAAAGTAATGATCCCAAGTCCAGAAAAAGGCTTAAATCCAATAGAACATTAACATACATACAATCATAGAGTTGGAAGAAACCACAAGGGTCATCCAATCCAATCCCTTGCCATGTAGGAATAACACAATTAAAGCACTCCCAACGAATGGCCATCCAGCCTCTGTTTAAAAACCTCCAAAGGAGACTCCACCACTCAACATGTAAAGAATACATTGTCCTCCTAGGACGTTATCACACGTGGGCCAGAAAGCGATAATAAAGTGGA